CGATTAGCCATTCCGGGCCTGGTGACTGCATGTTATTGTTTTAAATGATTATGAATTAAAACGTGTGTGCCAACGTCTGTAACTCATGCTATATTTTTTTTTTTTTTAAAATACAATATTATACTCGTATAAAATGCTAAAAAACTTTTTAGCAAAACATATTTATTTATTTTTAATATTTGAAACTTTTAATAGGAACATTTTCAAAAATAGTTTTGGCACAATGGCGCCCCCCATGTGTGACGCACCTTTGTTCCGCATATACTACGTACCCCCTTTTTGCACCGCTGACTACCCATACCACCAAACCTGTCCCTAACCCTACCCATATCCTACATTAGCAGCTCTTTAAGGCCCCGTTTACACTGCCAGTTAAATGTGACCCAATTCCGCTCATATGTGACACAGATCGTATCTGTTCTATGACCGTGTAAACACAAAAACAACGCATGCATTCGGATATTCAGAGATCGGTTTCAGGCCTCCTTCATATGTGGAAATAAACAGATATAGATCGGATATGTGACAATGCGACTGTCATGTAAACAGGCAGATCGGATTTATTGAGGCGTTCCGATCATTAAACTTGCGACAATGTGGCGCTTCTCCGCGGTTTAATGACAGAAAGAAGAGCGTGTGTGGAGATGCCGACGCGGTAAACAACATCAGAGGAAACATGGAGAAGGAAAGTGCTCAGTCGCCACAATTTGCTCCCACCAGACCTGAGATCTCTCTCGTACCCACAAATGACGTCCCTTTCCCACCTCCACCGCCTCAAAATCATTTTAAAGTTGGGCGAACTTCGTGTTGTAATGTTTGCTTTTTGTCGCTATTAATACAGGCACTGCGAGCTACACATACAACAACTTTATTCTCTCCAACAGCAGTGCGCACACAGGCAAAGGCTACACGCACACATCAGGGCAATACAATTAGATAAACTGCGTGGGGGTAAATCTGGGCTAAACCATTCACTGCTTATACTACACTTTGCATATTTCGCAGAGCTGAAAACAAGACAATTTCGTCCATCGTGGCTGGTGTGGCGCAGATGCTAGAATCCGCATTTATGCATGCGTGACATCGTAAATTGTATGACAAGTGTAAACGCATTAATTGGATATGGGTCACAATTAAAACAACGTGTAAACAGACAGACAAACAAATCAGATATAGACAACAAATCAGAATTGGGCATCAAGACCTGACAGTGTAAACGGGCCTAATGCTGCGTTCACACCAGATGTGGATTGCGCGTCAAGCGCAAGTGATTTACATGTTAAGTCAATGCAAACGTGCGAAAAGACATCCTGCGGCGCGTTACTCGCGATTGACGCAAATGGCGTGGAGCGAATTGAGCGTTTTGCGCGCTTAACAAGAATCTCTCGAATTCGAAAATCTAAACTTCAGCGGACATTCGCGCCGCGTTAACCAATCAGAAGCTTGCTCTTGTGGGGGCATGATTGTGACGTTGAGCCTGTTTTCCGAGGGAAATCCTCCAGGCGACACCGGCAACAGTTCATCAAACTGGGCTTGGCTCAGTCAGAAGCACCGCTGAAAGTCTCCATCATCCAGTATCAGTTTCTGGAGGAGTTGATGAGCTCACAGAGCTGGATGCACCTCTGAAAGGATGTAGTGGACTCAGACACGACCCTAAACGTATCGACGCTGTTTTTCAGTCTTCATAAAGCACATAAACACTGTTATTTTCTTCATAAAATCCATGTTATCCATTTAGCTATGAAGCTAGAGTCACCGGGCAGACAGACGCCCTGCCCATGACCCGAATCCGCGTCTGTTCTGAAGTGAATTTGACACGCAATTGAAGCGGATTTGACGCGCAAATGAAGCGAGTAAACTCAAATGTTCACGCGGCTATTTACACGCGAATGGCGCGATTAATCTGTGCGTTCCGCGTCTGGTGTGAACACAGCATAAGTCTTCTGCAATACAATACTTATTTTTGGGTTTGAATACACGCATTAGCTAATAAGGTTAACCAAGGGTTTTAGAGTCCTAACAATTAGGGACATCAGAAACCTGTTATGCATCTTGTAAAATGGCACATAATAGGTCCCCTTTAATGGTGAACTATGATTAATAAGTGTTGTACAGTTATTGCTCATTCTTAGTTCATCTTAATTATAAAGTGTGACCTTTTTTATTTGAATATTAGTGACAGACCGAGCAGGTCATTTGTTACTCGTAACATCATAGTCCACGTGAGTCATTCTCCATCTTTCAGCAAAATGGCAGCTGTCACAAAAATGTGTTGACGCATCGTGATTTTGCTCCTATTATTATAATCCTTTTTTTTTTCGGTGGCTTAACACAAGAATGATTTCTCATATGTGTTACCACATGGTGTTCTGGAGAAAGACTCCCACCACGTCCACAATGTGTGAAGATTTGAGTCGATTTGCGATAGCATGGTGCAGGGGTGCCATATTCTTGTAGGCCAAGGCGTTTTCAAGATCTGTGCTGAATTATCCATTGTCATAATGATGTACAGTCTCAGTTTAAACCATTTAAATACGATGCAAAATTCCATCTTTCAGCTGCAGTTTTGCAGGTATAGAAGCCATACAAGACAAGAATCCCCTTTTCCTCAATGCAAATCACTCTTGTAGAGGGTTAGAGCTCTAAAACCTTTGATTAACCTGATTTACTACCGTTTGTATTTTCATTCAGAAATTGTATTGCAGAAGACTTAAAGAGCTATTAATGTGGGGTACAGGTAGGGTTAGGGACAGGTTTGGTGGTATGGGTGGGTTTAACCAGATAACTCTGCTGCTATTTGGGGATTTCCGCCTGGATTTTGCCTATACCCAAATTTAAAAGCTTCCCAAATCCTCATGCAGAGGTGTAAATGCAAAAATCTGGTATCGTTTTAAAGAAAACGCTTTGAATTTTCATAAAACACTATTGAAAGTGTGTAAAATAACTGTATATGTTGTCTGTGTTACAATAAACACCTAAATAAAGAGTTGCTTTTTTTTTTTTTAATAAACTCAAATTTGAGAGTGTACCTTTTAGGTTGTGTGTGGTCTAGCGTGCTGTAATTAATTTTTGTGGTTGCTGCACATGTCTGTGATCATAGGAAAAAAGAAAAATGTCTCCACCATAATCTATGCAAAAGTTATTGTATTCCAACTGATGAGAGGTGCTGTACAAGCCACAGGGAGCGATCATTGTTTTCATATTTCACTATTCTTTTGTTTGATCAAACATAATTCACTGTGTTTGGAGCACGTCAGACATGTAAAAGGATTACTTATGCACATCACCTCAAAAATAGAAGAGAATGGCCCTGAAGCGCACAGCATAAGGTAAGAGATGACAGCTGTCTGTGCTATCTGGGGCTGCTTATTGATCATAAATGTATTGTTTTCACTTCTGCTCCATGGAAACACTGCGATTCATTCGACAACTGTTTGAATGCTAGAAAGAGTAGCGTGCAAATCAAATGATTAAACCCTGTTGTTTTGGAAAACAAATAAAGACGTTTGGTCACACTTTATTTTGATAGTCAATTTGTTGAATATAAGTTACATTGCATCTACATGCCAACTAATTCTCATTTGATTTTAAGTAGAGTGTTAGGTTGGGGTTAGGGTTAGTGTAAGTTGACATGTACTTGCAAAGTTTCTTATAATCAGTTAAATGTCTGTTTAGCAGATATTTAACAGATATTAAGCAGACTAATACTCAAGTGGACCATCAAAATAAAGTGTTACCGACATTTCATTTGCATCTATTTTGTTTAATATGCCTCTGTTACACGTACAAAACTTGCTCATTCTACCGGCCATAGCGGCAATTGGACAGCCGCTACAATACTAATAATGGAAATCCTAACAAATACAATAGAGTTGTATCGCTTCTCTCTCAAAGCCCTGATTACAGACTTTATTTACAGGTGTAATTGCTCGAAAAAATTAAAAATACAAGTACAATGTATGTACATTTATGTAGCAACACCAAATAAACAAATCAAAATAACTTAATGGTATTTATAATGTGTAAGGAATACATTTGAGTTACCTATCTTTTCCATATGGACAACTTTTCAAGTGTGGTCAGTTCGCTTGTAGCCCACTTTGTACAGTGGTGTGCTGTAGAGTGCTCAGATTCGAGTCAAGTGAAGCTCGCTTCCACAAAAGAGATAAAAAGCAATGTAAAATCAAGGTAAAACTATGTTGTAGCACTGCAATTGTAAAAACACTATTGGTTGGGTTTAGGGAAGGGTGGTTTGCTAGGTGATCTGTACGACAAGTGCTGCCTTTGCTCGTATGTGTAAAAGAATGATCTGATATACACAAGAAAACATACCCTAACATGTTTCAGAGTGGCAAAAGCGCAGACAGCGCCCTCTAGTGGAATTGTTATCTGTAACGTACAACAAAACGTAGCCTAAGTAACGTATTTCAGAGTCGCAAAAGTGTAGACAGCGCCCTCTAGTGGATTTGTCATCTGAAATGTCCAACAAAACGTACCCTAAGTAACGTATTTCAGATTCACAATAATGTAGACAGCGCCCTCAAGTGGATTTTTCATCGAAAATGGTCAACAAAACATACATTAAGTAACATATTTTAGAGTTGCAAAAGTGTAGACAGCGCCCTCTAGTGGATTTGTCATCTGAAAGCATGCAACGAAATAAAAAATGTAGGGTGAGGCATGTATTTCCAAGGGGCTTGGGCTGGAAAGTGACACATTAATCATCTGAATTCTATACAGCTTTGTAGAATCACACATTGTCACAGAGACTAGATAGTATCGAGGATCTCTATTGTCCTTCACAATACTTCATGCATCAGAGGTGTTCATGAAGGTGTACACGTCTGTCAGCATCAGATCTGACCAGCTGGAAGCTCCCTGGAGAGACTGAGTCAGCACTGTGTGTGTGTGTGTGTGTGTGTGTGTGTGTGTGTGTGTGTGTGTGTGTGTGTGTGTGTGTGTGTGTGTGTGTGTGTGCGTGCGTGTCCAATCATTACCAAACCCAGAGAGACTACAGGAATGTGGACAAGGAGAAGTGAGCAAGGCTAGAGGACGGGGAGGATGTAACATTAATGACTAATCTAATGATATGGATGTACAGTACATGATCCACTTGTTATGTATTAATATTCATGCACCCTTTTAACAAGACAGTTGTGATGTGTTTAACGGTCATCAGCATCTTATATCCTTTTAATATTTTAATTTTAATGTTAACGTGTAAGCTATTTAATCTGTTAAAGAATTAGTTCACCTAAAAATTGAGATTCTGTTACTGACTCACCCTCATATCTGTCCAAACTCCTGAGATCTTCGCAGGACAAATGGTGGTATTTTAGAGTAAATTTGAGAGCTCCCTCATCCTCCATAGACAGCAAGGGTCCTGAGACGCTCAAAGTCCTGAAAAGGAACCAAAAACTTTGTTAAAAAGCCCCTTTTATTATTATTTTTGAAAATGAGCCTCTGTGCAGTGTGTAAAACAGCTCCAAGTGAAGTGAAATATCCAGCTAAGGCTGAAATCTGAAAGCTTGCCATGTTTGAAACTACTAATTGATCTATAAAAGAGTCGATTCAAGAGTTGTTTAAATGAATCGTGAGGGTAATGAGTCTTTAGCCATGTCGGTGTGACGTCAATACAGAACTCAAGCCCGCCCATTGGTTAAAGTTTATTTTTGCAGAAATACCTCAGCATTATGTGTTTAAGATGTAAACAAAGGAAATGTTAAAGGAGAGGGGTTCCAGACCGACACCCTATGAGTGAGCAAGGGACTTTTCCTGGGGGAGGAGTCACAGACCTACAGCTAATAAGTGACCAAGATTTAGATTCTAGGTCATGCCGATGTGCAGGGGGCGGAGTCACAGATCTACAACTAATAAGTGTGCAAAATGCAGGCCAAAGGAGTTTTAGGGGAGGAGTCACAGACTGACACCCAATGAGTGAGCAAGATGTATGCTACGGCAATGTTTAGGGGGAGGAGTCACAGACCTGAAGCCAATGAGCAAGCAAGATGTAGACCACAAGAATTAGTTTGTTTGGTTTTTTTTACGTGCACAAGCAGCGTAGTAGTATGAGAAGAACAGTGATTTGATGACTTTTATAATGCACAGTGTGCTTTCAGGATTACTGTTTACTTTTTAGCAAGGCTTGACCAATCAGGATCCAGGACCACAACCTTATGTGCAGTGCTCAATTTGTGAATCGCGAGGTCCCAGAACAGATCTGGGTAACAGATTCGGCAAGGTAACCGAGGATGGAGAGGCACTGAAGTGGAGGTTGGTTGGTTGGAGGTTGGTGCGGTGGATGGCGGAGGGGTGTCACGGATGATAGTGACCGCAGTGGGGTTGTCACGGACGAAAGTAGAGAGGGTTGGGGAGTCGTGGAAGAAAGTGAAAGTGAACAACGGATGGGGAAGGAGGGCGGTTATGGAGGGGGATCAGTAAAATGAGGTGCCAGATCAGATTTCAGAGGTGCCGGATCCGGCATGTTCCGGCACAAATTAAGCCCTGGTTGTGTGTGTTTTTCATATATTTCATTGTGTATTCACCAATTAATAATTTCATGACACGCAAGCCATCTAGTTTTATAAGATCTTCAGCATGCACTTCTGTTTTTTAAACTCTTTTTCATATTTTTTTTAGATGTAAAAAAAAAACATGTAAGATACCCTAATGAAACATACCCTAAGTTACGTATTTCAGAGTCGCAAAAGTGTAGACAGCGCCCTCTAGTGGATTTGTCACCTGAAACGTACAACAAAACGTACCCTAAGTAGCATATTTTTGATTTGATAAAATATAGAGAGCACCTACTTGTGGATTTGTCATCTGAAATGTTCAACAAAACGTACCCTAAGTAACGCATTTCAGAGTCGTAAAAATGTAGACAGCGCCCTCTAGTGGACTTGTCATCTGAAATGTTCAACAAAACGTACCCTAAGTAACATATTTCAGAGTCGCAAAAGTGTAGACAGCGCCCTCTAGTGGATTTGTCATCTGAAACGTACAACAAAACGTACCCTAAGTAACATATTTTAGATTTGAAAAAATGTAGAGAGCGCCTACTAGTAGATTTGACATCTAAAAACATGCAAAGAAACAAAAAAAAATGTAGGCTGACGCATGTATTTTCAACGTGTCTGGGCAGGAAAGTGACACATTACTCATCTGAATTCTATACAGCTTTGTAGAATCACACATTGTCACAGAGACTAGATAGTATTGGAGAATTTGTTCCGGCACAAATTAAGCCCTGCTTATGAGTGTGTTTTCATATATTTCATTGCGTATTTACCAATTAATACTTCCCTTGAGAGCCAAGCCATCTAGTTTCACAAGATCTTCAGCATGCACTTCTGTTTTTTTAATGTCTTTATCATATTTTTTAAGAAGATGTAAAAATAAAACACATGTAAGATATCTTAACCATTACCTCCAAAACAAAACAAGAGGCAAACATCGTTTGCCTACCAATGGCTGCACTTCTCTCCTTTTTTCATTCTTATTATAAGGAAATAGATGCCAAACATTAGTCATGACTCACATGTTCACATGGTGCAGTCAAGGCTAAGCTATGATTTCCTAAAGGTTACCAAGGTAACAGTGCCTCTCATTCTCTCTCTGTCTCTCTCTACTCTTTTTTTTTTAACCCTCTGTTCTTTGTTTTTTTTTTGTCCTTTTCCAGAATAACTACGACGGCAGCTTGCATGATGGACCTGAGACGGTACCCTCTCGATGAGCAAAACTGCACCCTGGAGATCGAGAGCTGTAAGTTACACACACAAACACACATAAAGCTATATTTTTAGGGATGAAATGATGTTTCTACTGGACAGACTGTACATTCCATCCCCCTATCCCTAAACCAAACACTAACAAGAAACAATCTGCACTTTAAGATTTTTAAAATAGTTCATTCTGTCTGATTTATGAGCTGTTTACTACCGGGAACCAAAAAAATTTCTCCACAAGGTCAAAATGTATTGCTTATCGACATACATCTGGGGATATTTGGTCCCCATGATGTAATAAATACAAGGTACACACCATAGAGTGTAAAATATATGGATGTAGTATCCGTGACGTCACCCATAGGTTTCTAAAGAGCGCAAAAGAAGCCACAAGTAGGCGCGGCCAACCGTCGCCATTATGTTCGCACGTCATCACACCCACGGCGGGATACCAAACAAGGGCAAAGAGGCGGAGAGTGGGCGGAGCTACAGACACCTGCTGATAGTTTGCTTGGACCTGGTTCAGACACACTTTACTTTGGGAGAACGCTTAATACTTCATCACCTGCGACTCGTTTGTGTTCTGACCACTTGTGCTTGGTTGTACACTATATCAATAAAGTGTTTAGACTTTTAAAAACACTGCTGTAACACATTGAGCCACTAAACATTGTTCTCAACAGGAGAAAAACGCGAATTACTTCCAAACACTTCAGATATAGTCTGTGTTAGTTAATGTAAGACTATTGATGAAATCCAGCATAACACTGTATGACAACGCTTTAGATGACTGTTCTAGAGCCTACAGCTAATCAATTCATCAGATTCTGGAGTGCATTACAGCTCTAAACATAAATATAAACCATAAATGATCTTAAATAAAACAAATACATGTATAGAGATGGTATATAAGTATATAACTTTACTCACATGGGAAACGGAGGCCACGTGAATGGTTTGTGAGCACAATTAAGTGCACTCAGCATGCCATGCCATCCAATAATTGTAGGAAACAAGTCCAAAAGGCAGTTGACTGTGTAAAGCCACATAAAACAACACAGAAATACGATAAATATGCCGAGTTCAGTGGCTAATCTGCAGGATTCAGCTGAGGTGACGTGACGACGGCCAACGAGACCAGGCTGTCACTCAAGTGGCCACGCCCTTAATTATGCAAACTTAATATAACTTAATATAAAGGAAACGGATGAGTTATTAAAAAATTCACCCCCTCACAGTTGTCATGACGGGTAATATTAGCTGTATTAACCGAAATCTTTTTTGTAGCAGGCTGTAAACACCTTTTTTTCTGCTGTAAAGTTGGCCATTCTAACAGTGGGCTCAATTGAAATTTGCTCTATTTTGAAGCCAGGAGCGGCCAGGACTAGCGGAATTTCGGATGAATTGCAGTTTTAGTTACTTCCGTATTGGCTTCCTGAGGGAGAGCGGGAGGTTGCCGCTTGGTACACACACAAAATACAACACAAGATGTGACTTTAGCTGCACGTGGTTCCTAAACTGTAATATGGTCAATTTAATAGTCTTAAACATATTTCATGCAAATGACTTTACAATTTAAGCATATATAAAAATATTTATTTATGGCAGAAACTAGATATTAAATGGAGAACAACTAACTGAGTGTTTGCACTTTGATTACATCCAAACATTTTCAATCGGCTCAAATTGAGTTGTATGAATGCTCTGTTAATAGTTCGAAGTTATGTGTTGAGTCAATTGAAACACTGGGCTCTATTTGAATAATCTAGGCCAGCGGTACCCAATAGGGGGGTGGCGGCCCACAAGGGGGCCTCAGTGAGCTTTGTGGGGGGTTGCGTCATGTTTTAAAAAAATCTTAGCAGTGGACAATTAGGAGAATGATCATGTTGCCTTAGTTCATTTTATCCCCTAGCTCAGTGGTCCTTAACCACTGGTCCGTGGATCAATTGGTACCGGACGCACGATAAATCATTAATTATTTCCATTTAATTTATTATCTGAGTCTGAACAATCTTTTATTTTGAAAAAATAGGGTTTTCTTTTGGAAAATTACCGTATTCTCTCACATTTTGGTCACTTGAGCGCCCACATTTAACCCAAAAGCAGCAAAATAAGTAATAAATGGACATTTTTGGAAAGTTTCTTTGTGTACGGAAAAAGGCCCAGTGAACGAACCCGCGAACTGCCTAGGAATAGATCCGCAACCCACTTGTCAACAAATCAGGTGAATCCACCATGGCTGTGCAAGAAGATCAACTGATGGAGATCGCAAATGCCGGCAGCCTTTTATAGGCCGTTCGCATATCGCGTATTTCTAGAGTCTGCACAAGTTTGTTGTTTCCAATTGAAGTGCGCAGCTTGCGCGCACAAGCAGCATGACGCACTCACACCAATGAACCCCAGGCCGAGAGCGCACTGCGAGTCACGTGACAAGAATTAACCGATCAGCTTCAGCTTGTATGCAATAATGACACTAGTTTTCTCAGACAAACACAGAACACACAAACACTGCAGTGCTTTGTACTTTTCTCCATAAATAAAACTTGTATCAGAGTGACAGCAATGTTTTGTCAGTTTGTCATCCTCTGAGAAAAGGATTGATGGTCGCTGTGGCGAGGGGGCGTGGCTGAGAGCCGTGGGAACGGGGTGAGGCCACCGCGTAAGTGGATACACCTGCGGTGCGCACCTCTCTTGGCTTCCTCTGCCATCGGTCCTCCTTTTATGGTCCAGAGCTAATTCCGTGGGATCCGAGGCAGGTGCGCACCGCAGGTGTATCCACTTACACGGTGGCCTCACCCCGTTCCCACGGCTCTCGGCCACGCCCCCTCGCCACAGTCACATAGCAACCTACAAAACACCCTCAAACCCATGCAGTAAAACTGACAAGCGTTGACCCGTGCGTGGTGATAAACAGGTTGAGAAACACTGACAAAGCTGACCAAAAATTGACAAATTTGTAATCTGTCCTCCACAAAAAAGCCCTGCAGCAATCTTCACACTAATTGATCGAGCATAACCAATAACATGCAAGTAGTAAATTGTAATAGCCTATTCTATGTTTTTCCCTAATACACCAGTGGGAATACTGATATTTTTGTCATTGAATTTCAAATATGGTCAATCTAAAAGCCAAAGGCTTATGTTTTTCAGTAACAAATGGCCTACTGATGTTTTGCATTTATACTACATTAGGCTATCATTCATTCATTCAATTTCTTTTCGGCTAAGTCCCTTTATTAATCCGGGGTCGCCACAGCGGAATGAACCGCCAACTTATCTGGCACATGTTTTACCTAGCGGATGCCCTTCTAGCTGCAACCCATCTCTAGGAAACATTAGGCTATTATTTGTGCATAAACGTATCTAGATATAGTAACAAACATACTGTAACATTTTTGTCATCATTACTGCAAACTTATATGAGCGAATTTATCATTAAATGTGGAGGGGGGCCTCACAATATTTTCCGGGGAAAAAGGGGGTCTCAGGAAAAAAAAGTTTGGGAACCACTGAACTAGGCGCAAAAATATGGTCTGTGCCCCAGCGCATAGTCTTACATGGTTGTGCTTATTCTCTTAATGAGTTCTGGGTGTGTTTTGAGCATAACGTGCATTAAACCAATCAGAGTCTCATCTCCCATTCCCTTTAAGAGTCAGTTGTGTCGCTCCATGGTGCATTTGCTATTTACATGGCGAGTTTGTAAGTGTAAAACCTGCTTCACTAGCGAGAAAACAGTTAAACAGAGCTTCTGCAGTGCGAGGATGAAGAACGAGCCTCCTCCATTCAGCCTCTTTCTCTTTACTTTTACTCTTTCCTCCTTTATTATAGTGGAGTAAGTAGACGGTGGAAACTCACTCCACTGAACACATCCATTAGCCCACATATTTAATTTAGTTTGTTAAGCACAACGATTTGTTTCAAAACTACTTCTAAATTCAGTTCTGATCTCCAGCAAAGTAATAAATGAGCAATAAAAACAAAGTGTGGTCAGAAAACGGAGTTATATCCAAATACACGTCCTGTTCTTACGCCCCATATGGGGATGCAGTTGTCTCCAAAACCCCACAAATCTAACCTAATTTTCATGAAAACCAATATAAATATGCATATAATAAATAAAACGGATAATAATAATAAAAAGCACCCCCCTCCCCCCCAGATGAAGAAGGCATGAAGGCAGTGGTTTTTACATTTATGAAGAAAACAATAATTTTTGACGGGCAACACAGTGGTGCAGTGGTACCACAGTCGCCTCACAGCAAGAAGGTCGCTGGTTCGAGCCCCAGCTGGGTCAGTTGGCATTTTTGTGTGGAGTTTGCATGTTCTCCCCGTGTTGGCGTGGGTTTCCGGGTGCTCTGGTTTCCCCCACAAACATGCGATATATAGGTATATGAGTGTGAATGGGTGTTTCCCAGCAATGGATTGCAGCTGGAAGGGCATCTGCTGTGTAAAACATATGCTGGATAAGTTGGCGGTTCATTCCGCTGTGGGGGGATATACATGGGGGCTAATAATTAGAAGGGCTAATCAATTGTCTTCCTAGCAACAAACATTTTTCACTTCATCTTGATAGATTGACACTAAGCGTTGATTACCACAATGCATCTATTTATTAAGTCAGAGGAATTGTTCATTGTTGGGTTGGCTGTACTATGTGTAAACCTAATCAACAGTGGCCCGTCCCCCATTGTGAACACATCAAACCGGACCACAGCAGTTTTTGCACTGGTCCGGCTCATCATTTTCACTCCTGCTTCTTATCTCTCTCACAATCCACACACACACACACACACACACACACACACACACACACACACACACACCTACTGTAAGCAAACGTGATCATTAAGGCCATTTAGAGCAATCGGCCACATCTGCAGTGCAGGCCGCTCTGTCTGTGCTGTCAGGAGTGATAAATGCTCCTCCAGGCCTCTGACACCCAGGGCTCGTGGCACAATTGACAGATGTGGGTAAGATTGAATGTGTTTGCCGCTTTATCAATGAGGTGCCCTGCTCTATCGATCGCTCAGTGGTGCCCTGTCCGTCACGGGTACATCGCAAAATAACCGGGTGCGTGTTCGGAATGATTACACCATGCGCATTGTTGTATTCTTATTGTTGTTTATCGCTTTGTGTGGATCAATGGGTCAGGGCTGACCTGCTGAGGCGTGGACACTTCTCAGATTTGCTTGTTTCAACATTATTTAACTTTCAGAACATTTTAAAGTATATGCCATTTAGTGACTAATCAAACTGTCCACGGGCTGAGCCATAAGAACTAATTCCTTTGTTTGAAAATCATTCTTATAACCATTACATTATGAAAATGCTGGGTTATTGTAACCCAACATATGGGTTGCAACAAACCAGAACTTCTTTAGAGAGTAGGTATCAGCACAGAAAGAGTCATGCTTAAATTGTGCATCTTTCATTCATTCATTCATTCTCATTTCGGTTTAGTTCCTTTATTAATCCAGGGTCTCCACAGCAGAATGAACCGCCAACTTATCCAGCATATGTTTTACACAGTGGATGCCCTTCCAGCCACAACCCAACATTGGGAAACACCCAAACACACTCATTCTCTCACACACACACACACACACACATTACGGACAATTTAGTTCATTGATTCCCCTATAGAGCATGTGTTTGGACTGTGGGGTAAACCGGAGCACCCGGCGTACACCGTGTAAACATTCATTATTCTGTTTCATTGCAGATGGGTACACCACAGATGATATTGTGTTCTTCTGGCAAGGAGGGGATAATGCCGTAACCGGTGTGGACAAACTGGAACTGCCTCAATTTTCCATTGTGGAGCTACGTCTTGTGTCCAGGGAAGTGAGGTTTACCACAGGTATGGTCAATTCAAATACTAAAAGGGACAGTATTTAAAACAACATGTCATTTTCACCACTAGAGGGTGTTTATTCACAACAAACAAAGACATAGTTGGATTATTAGCTTTGATTTATATGAAGCAAGTCAATGACTATAGAAAGCATACAAGCAAAACTAATTTGACAACTGTGACTGCTGAAATCAACTGCGAATTATTCTTTAAAGGGTCACGAAACACCAAAACACATGTGTTGAGCTGTTGACAGTCGTATATGTGTCCCACACTGCTAAAAACACTATTAGGACACCTATATTTCACTAAAAAGTGTAAATTGGTTGTTTTTGCGTTATTTCAAGCAAATTCGTACTTCCAGTTTGAACCAAATTTTTGAGGCTGCGTCACGGTCATGACATAATAGCGTGTATTCCAGCGTGCAGACTGGACGTCTGTGCCAGAGTGTGTCTTATTACGTCTTACAGTGTGTTGCATTAATGTATGAGTAAGGCTTGGTTCAAACCAATCAGCGCGCTCTATTGTGCAACTTCATTAATATTCATTACTGTCACAGTGTTTAGACGACAAAGACGGCACGTTGTGTTGGCAAAACAAGCGTGAAGTGTTGCTTTTATAGTTTGCTGCCGTTAAGTTTTGTTTTCATTTTCTCTCTGTGAGAGCTCAGCTGGAGTCACGTGTGGATTAACAGTGTACGCGACGCTCGACAACAATAACTTACGTGTCTAAGGAGGATTATTGTTTACCTGAGAGCTGTTCTCATCTGCAAACGCTGAGATCTGGATTCGCTTGTAGTCTCCTCTTAATAAAGACGCGGCTCTAGTTGCTGGTGATTGTCCTGTCTCTACAGATTTGGTAAGTGAGTGACCAGCGCTCTTTGTTTATTCAGTTCGTATTTTATTCGTATCGAAAAAACTATTGCACCGAGTGTAAACAAGTTAGCACTACAACCAAACTATAACCTTGTGTAGGATTTTTTGACCGGAATAACACACGCGGCTTTCTGCCGTGTGCATCTACAGTAAGTTTCTGGGAAATGCTGAGGTTTTTTTTTCTCTCATTCGCCGTGCGGTATCAAACATTGCATGAAAAATACACGCTTAGAGCAGTTCCTCGAATCAAATATCTCGTTTGTCGCGAGGGACATGAATGAATTCCCTGAATGAAAGAGCCAAACTGCAATTAAAGTCCACCATTTAATCATTTAGCAAATAATTCGACTACAGATGTCCATGTAAACACAGTCACCTTGTCCGCTTTGGTTGTGTGTTTTGACTGAAACTCGCGCGCGCCCAAATAGACACTCCCACACCAAGCCTCTTTTCTTCCTCCGACACTCCCCCCTAAACAGAGCTGGACACGCCCACTTTTCTGACTTTTTCCAAAATAGAGGTGTGAAAACACCCTGCTGAAACGAGGGCGTTTCATGGCCCTTTAACATCAGTAAATAGCCATGACAAGAATTTCAATAATCAATTCTGTGAATGAGTGTATTAAATCATACCACACCTGACATTTAGCAGCGGAGCTTTCAAACTGGCATAAGTGCAGGAGGACAGTCGTGGAAAGGAAAATGCGCCACTTACAGTTTTATTAATTTGCACACCAGATTTTACACATTAACTGAACTTATTTTTCAGTTACATATTTTTTTTTCGTCTTAAATACCCTGTATCTAGAGTCTAAATGGGGAAAAAAAAGACACTGCGGGCTTTTGTGACAATTCTCAGAGGGATGTAGACGCTGCCTGCTGAGAAGGGGCTTTCAGAAAAATCTGCCATGTTTGCGACTTTCTGCCATGTTTAATTGGAATGGAACTAGTCCCTGGGAAGGAATCCATTGCTTTGGGGAAATTAAACGCTCCGTCTGAACAAATGGGAAAATGACTATCTGTTGTCAAAGTGCAGACTATGACAATTGCAAATTGTAGATCTATTTTTCCTGCGCTTGCTCTTTTGTGTTTTCACTTGCATGTTGACATCTCTCTCTCTCTCTCTTTGGCTACTTGTGTCTCCCCAGGTTCATACCCTCGGCTGTCGTTGAGTTTCCGCATCAAGAGAAACATCGGCTACTTTATCCTGCAGACTTACATGCCCTCCATCCTGATCACAATCTTGTCCTGGGTCTCCTTCTGGATTAACTACGATGCCTCTGCGGCTCGGGTGGCCCTGGGTAACCTTTAGTGTTTTGTTCAAAAATCATACCATCTTTTTTTTACAGGAAGCAAATCCCACTGTGATTTCGAGCACTTGCGTGTGTGTGTCTGTGTGTGCGTGCAGAATACACACTGAATATCTTTTGCTCCAAATACTCTTCTTGTCAACCATGATTAAAGAACTGCCCTTTTTCATGACCATTGATGTGTCTCTTAAACAGTTATATACAGTTGAAGTCAGAATTATTAGCCCCCCTGAATTATTAGCCCCCCTTTAGTTTTTCCACAATTTCTGATTACAGTAATTTCTAAGTACATATTAGTTAAGGCCACTTAATATAAAGTGGGAACGAATAAGTGTATTTTATTTTTTTATATTAAGCTCTTGAAAGCAGCAGGACTGTGGGTGCACAATGTTATCGTCACTAAAACCCATCTCACCCTTACTTTCATCTGCAGGAAGAGCCAGTTCTGTCCTTTTCTTCTTTAAATTGGCATAGAACATGGTGGTGCTCGCTAATACACTGGTCCCTGTATTGATATCTATTCAATAGTAGTATTGCCATTAAAAGTAGATTTTATCCATAATGCAAATGCCATTAACACATGAATTATCAACATTAAACTCCTACCATTCATGTTGTTATTGTTACAACTTAAAAGTTCACAGCTGACCTTGCTAGCTGGCTAACCCATTGCAATATTGCATGTTCCGTTATTGCACAGTGTTGCCATTTGGTAACACACACACACATTTGATCGATTTACAAAAAACTAATTTGATTAAAAAAAAATGTTGAGTTGTGAATATTTCATCATAACTTACTGGAGGTGATGTTTCAGGTTTTTTTTTTTTGTGGATCTGACATAATTTGATCCTTTGTTTTATTGACGTTTACATTTGCATTCACCAGCTACTCACAATAAGCACCAGTCTGTCAGAAACTGTGCTATAGAAAAACACTGGATGTCATGTGACTTGACCAAAGCACATCATTGGCTACTCTAAGGTCTCCTCTTTCCAATAAAAAATGTACATGTTGGTCTTAAAGAAACAGTGGCAGGGAAATGAACATGAGTATCTTGTTACCATATGGTTACGCCGTGCAGTAGGTTAAATATTCTAGCTGAAATAAAACAAATAAGACTTTCTCCAGAGGAAAAAAAGATCTCGGAAATACTGTGAAAAAAAATCCTGAATCTGTTAAACATCATTTGGGAAATATTTGATAAAGAAATAAATATTCATGGGCGAGCCAATGCTACATAATAAATGTCAGCAGTTTGAAATGACTTGATTGCATTAGGTATCATTATGTGACGGATGCAGGTACAAAAACTGAAACATGATGGATAGAGTAACTTTATGAATATGCAGATCAACAATATCTAATATGCTTGGAAAAATCTGTCCGTAAGCATTCCTGTTCATCTCACTGACAGTTTTTTTTAGCTGACAAATACCTCTCTGGATGTACACATTTATTATTCACAGGTACAGGACTATGCATAACAGCTCTAAGCATTCCTTGACACACACACACACAAAACAAACTTTTTTCTCTGTGAACTGCATTTAAGTAAGGGAAAAAGTATATCTAGGTGGTTGTTATCGCAGAATAAAACCAGGCAGGCTTATTGTTGGTTTTGTTCTTAGAAAAAAAAAAACAACCGCCTGGATGTACTTTACTCCATTTATTAAACTGACACTGGCCAGAAAACGTAGATAGATAGAAAACACTGTAATAGTTTAGTTATTTCATTAAAGACTGACAGAAACAAAAATGGCTAAATGGAGCATACACTAACCTACATTTTATTAAACCACAAGATGGCGCCAAACAGTCAAAAAAAAAAGCATGTGTCTGTGAATGTGACCATATTCGCTGACAGTCAAGATGATTCGAAGTACCAGGATGAGCTGGTGTTATTAATTTTAGTGGTTGCTATCTGGGAATAACATACCTTGGAATGTTGTGATTGACCAATCACAATCCAGTATTCCAGACAGCTGTGTAACAAAATTCTTTAACCCAGAGAAGGTTATTGATTATTTCACTTATTCCTAGGTCATTTGCCATGGTGTAGACCAGTGTTTCCCAACCCTGTTCCCGAAGGCACGCCAACAGTACACATTTCAACATCCTTCTAATCAAACACACCTGAATCAACTCATCAGAACAAAACAAGAGACTCCAAAACCTGAAACGAACGGGTCAGATAAGAGAGACATCCAAAATATGCACAGTCGGTGTGCCTGCAGGAACAGGGTTGGGAAACACTGGTATATGCATATTAAAACTAGCAACACTCTTTGCAGTGCAGTATTTGACCAAATTGGTGTCAGTTATACAATGTTCAATCAGGTTAGAAAGAGTGTGCACTCGAGAGAGATAATGATTGTGCATCTAAACGGCACGGGCATATCTAATAGCTTGTAGTAACATGCGTTAGCTACCTCTTTGCAAATATTTTTGAGCATATTTGCAAGTAGAATGATCATCAGTTCCCTGATTAGGGTAACATTAGCATCCTCAAGGTCATACAGAGGATTGAAGCCTCCTGGAACTACGTTACAGTGGTTACTACTATTGTTTGAAAGTAGCGCATTTATTTCAAACTGTAATGAAAAAACGGCTAGAACTGCCAAATGATTTTATTGCACGCTTTTCAATTTACTATGTATGGTTGCGTTCACACCAGACGTGGATCAAGTGCCAATCGCGAGTGATTTAGGGTGCTTTCACACTTGGTTCATTTGCCTGGACCGTACCCAAGTTCGATTGTCTCCCCGTGCCACCTCCTCGGTTGGTTTGTGTTCACACTTGTCTTTTTTCCTTCTGAGCCCTGGTACGCTTGCGTCATCGAGCTGCTGTTTTGTTTGCGGCCGTTGCTAGGTGACGGTCACTAAAGCAAGCGCCGAAATGGAAAGACATCCGCACATCGCGGTCATTCTGCTTTAACTGAAGCTTTTGGTTTTGGACATCCAGAAAGCAACTCGCGTCCATCTGCCGCAAAAATTTTAGAAACATTCAGAACATCACACAGCGTCTGCAGAAGCTGTTTTTGGAGAAGACAAGCAGACATCACAGTGTATCACTGTGTTTGCCCTGGCTCAGTCCTGCACGTGTCACCGAGGTACGAAACGTGATACACACACACACACACACACACACAAACACAAACATGAACGAATGTTATGAAAACGATAGTTTGTTGTACAGTTGACAGTGCACTTCCGTTATTTGGTACCATTGCATTCACATCAGAAGTGAACCGTACCAGAGTTTGCATGAACCATACCCCAGACCACCTCTTTCAGGCGGACTCGGGTACGGTTCACAGGTGCACACCCGAGTTCAGAAGACACGTTCACACTAGCTAAACGTACCATACTATGACGTCAAACGAACTCAGGTGCGGACCAATAGTGCTAGTGTGAAAGCACCCTTACATGGTAAGTCAACGCAAAGAAGCAAAAGACATCCTGCGGCACCTGAGTTGAGCGTTTTGCGTATATCGCTCTAGTCGGAAAATCTGACCTTCAGTTGACTTTTGCATCACATTAACCAATCAGGATCTTTCTCTTATAGGAGAGTGATTATAAGTAGTGTCTATTGTTGGTGTCGTGTAGGGAAATCCTCTTGCCGACACCAGACAACTGGTTATGACACTGGACTCAGCTCAGTCCGAAGCCCCCCTGATAGCCTCCATCATCCAGGTATGGTTTCAGGAGGAGACAATGAGCTGGGTTCACCTCAGAAATCAGGATCTAGTAAACTCAGACATGGCACCGAAGGAATCTATGTTGTTTTTCAGCTTTCATAAAGCACAGCTTTGATACATAGTTCTCAATAAAAACCATGTTAGCCTTTTAGCATCAAAGCTAGAGTCACCAGGCAGACAGAAACCCTGCCCATGATGCAAATCCACATCTACTGAAGTGAATCCGATGAGCGAATAAAGCGAACTGGACACGCATATTGTTTATGCGTCTGTTTGCGTACGATTTATATGTGCATGCATACAGCATTTTCCAGTACTGGGTTGCGTCTGGAAGGGCATCCGCTGTGTAAAAACTATGCTGGCATAGTTTGGGTTCATTCCACTGTGGCGACCCCTGATAAATAAGGAACTAAGCTGGAGGAAAAATAATGAATTAAATAAGTGAATCACGTGATTATGATTGCTTGCAGCTTGTCCTGCATTATCCAATTTGTGATTGACCAATCAGATGATTCCTAAGCCACTATAAATACCCTCAGTTCCATATAACAGCCATCTTCATTTTGAAGAATCCCCCCTTCCACCCCTACTCCTCCTCCTTTCTTAGACTGGTGCCATGGTGACCCAGTGGTTAGCACTGTTGCCTCACAGCAAGAACGTCACTGGTTCTAGCCCTTACCAAGCCAGTCGATGTTTCTGTACGGAGTTTACACGTTCTCCCCATGGTTATGTGGGTTTCCCCCGGGTTCCCCAGTTTCCTGTCTAAAAACATGCGACTTAAGTTAATTGACTAATCCAAATCGGCACCATAGACATGCTCCTAATAAGTAGTTATCTCTTAAGAGCGATCACTATCTGTTCATTAGCCACTACAGCAGGGGAGTTCTCTAGATCTAGCTGAGCTCAAACTCCCCTCTCGCCTTGCAAACAGGAGGGAGCCCCGGGCTTGAGGATCTTATGAGCTCAGTGCTTTCTCCTGGGACAGCATGCCTAACAAGCTTTATAATCGATCATCAGCTGTCTGATGTCTGAACTCTTGAATTAATAAGATGTTTTTTAAGGGTCTTTGCACAACATCTCTTAAAGTCTACCAAGTCATGTGACATTTTCAATGGTTCAAATAATTAGCCTGATTTTTTTTTCCGCAGGTGTAACTACGGTGCTCACAATGACAACCATCAACACCCACCTGAGGGAGACCCTCCCAAAGATCCCCTATGTGAAAGCCATCGATGTCTACCTCATGGGCTGCTTCGTCTTTGTTTTCCTGGCCCTGCTCGAATATGCCTTTGTAAACTACGTGTTCTTTGGACGGGGACCGCAGCAGCAGAAAAAGATCAACGAAAGGCTAAACAAAGCCAACAACGAGCGTCCCCGCTACGAAGAGAAGCGTCTGAGGGAACAGGTACGCAGGATCTCTCGTAAACCGTTTATAACAGTCGACTCTTGTGCTAATTAAAATTGCATTGAATTGAATTTAATAAGCATCGACAATGTTCATGCATGTCCAAATTAATTTGAATTCGCTAAGTCTGTAAACAGAACAACTTTTGCCTGAATGAATCGCTTCACATCACTGCTAAAAACGAACATTCAATAGCCCATTAACCATCACTTTACTTAATCACTGACGTATTTCATTTGATTGAAGCTGCATTTCATTATTTAGAGGGGTTCCTCTTGCTGGGAATGTTACAAATTACATTGTCATTATCTTATTAGAATGTAGTCTGCTTTTTTGCCGCAGGCTTCTCTTCAATCCAAGCGCAGTAATGTACGATTCACTTCTTCCACCTAAAAAAAAAAAGTGTCAGCCATTTTCATACTTGACAACTGTGTGGACCAAACTCGGATGGTAAAACAGAGTAACGAGAGTTTGATTGAATTAAAGCATTTGTGTCTGTCTTTTATGCCCGTTCTTTCTTGTTCACCCTGGTGTTTATGCACTCTTGTATTCTTCGAAAGTTGTTGCTTGATTGTCAGAGTTTATATATGGGCGTTTTAATGTTCTCTTCATTTTTTTTTTTCTTTCACATCGCAAGGACTCCATTTCAGCGCCGTTTCAAAGCAACACCCTCAGGTCATACACACAGCGAAGAAATCTGTATCTCGAGGAACAAAGAAAAGTCGGGGTACTTGCATTTAGAAATCTAAAGGAGTGGAGACTTAGACTGAGAGCTTGATAACATGTTGGGTAACACTTCACTTGAAGGGGTGTTCATAAGACTGTCAACCTTATTAACATGACATGAATGTCAAGATTTTATGCATGCTTATGAATGATGTCATTAGCACTGTTATGCCATTTGTGAAGTAAATATGACAATGTTTGAGATTAAATTATCAAAACTAGTCATAAATCTGTCATTATTAGCCGTTATTTTCAACCCAAGCTCATTCTGAAAACGTAGTCCCGCGGACGTTTCTGGAGACAGCGGAATACGTCCCGGGGGGTACGTACGACTGTGTTTATTTTTTTCAAGCGAACGCTGCGGGGCGGTGTGACGCTGTTCCCTTTCGCGCTTGCCTTACCTCCTTGTGGAGGGCTTCCCCGCTGCAACCCGTTTGTCAAATCAGCTCAGCGTGTACGTCGGCAGGCTCGAGATGCAGAGACCACGGCGACTGGTTTCGAGTCCTGGCAAGAGCAGTTCCAGCAATCAGGTAAGACGAAAACAGAATCCCAAAAATTAAGTGAATGAGTTTCGTAACAGGGTGAGAACGCGGCGAAATCCGAAAACGCGGTAGAATAAAAAAAATTTAAAAATCAGGGCTTTTATTTTTTGGACGTCTTTTGTAAACTGTTGCTCGGGTTTAGGGAAGCGAGCGGGCGGGCGGGTCGATCGGTAAAATTGGTTGGGTTCAGGGAAGGAGGAGGGCGAGTCGGCCGATTGGCCGGTCCCGCAGTCAATCATCCGGTCAGTCGGACAGCGGCCTCCGACGGGTTCACGCGAGAACAGCGTGGGCGCGAACCGCGCTCCCGAGAGGCGTCTGAGGTGTGAAATAGCGCGCAACAGCGGCCTCTCGCGAATTCGCGAAAACAAAAACTGCAGCCGTAAGTACCCGCCGGGACGTATTCCGCGGTCTCCAGAAACGTCCGCAGGACTACGTTTCCACAATGAGCCTGGGTTGGTTATTTTTTATTAAAAGTGTCAATACTCTTAAAAAACTTTAAAACTGTTATAAATATTTAATTAATGACATTTTAAATGAAAAGTTCAGGTTGTTTTACTTTAGTTAAGGTCAAGACAAATATTAAAGATGCTGTTTTATGATTCATGAGTCAATTACAATAGCCTCTTAACAATCATGTTTATGCCAGGTTTATGACAAGTCTTGATAATGTCAAGTCATCATGACAAATACATCCCCGACGATCTCACCTTTGCATATAACTGAGCTAATGACCCTTATTGAGTTGTCATAAGCATGAATAATTATCATTTACATTCATGATGTGCCCTTACATGATTATAAAGGTTTCATGACAGTCTTATGAACACCCCCTCCATGTAAAGTGTTACCAAATATGCTCATTAGTTACTGTGTGTGTGTCAGCCATCGCATTCTGAATGAAGTCTTGTGAAGTTAACGTTTGTTACAACTGTGGCATCCCGTCGTCATTGCATCTGCATGAAAGGTTGCTGTTTGTGGCTGTTTATGACCGCCAGACCCCTCATGACCCCCCGTGTCTCTCTCTGTTTTGGTTTTATCCCCAAGGTGGACGCTTACGGAAACATTCTTCTCACCACACTGGAGATGAACAATGAGGTGATGCCGTCCGACGTGGGCAGCAGCGTCAGTGACTCACGGAACTCCGTCATGTCCTTTGACAGCTCCGGAGTGCAGTTCCGCAAGCCCATGGGTTCAAGGGATGGGTTCAGCCACCACTCGTTGGACCGCAGTGCCATGCGCAGTCGTGCCAACTGCCGGCTAAGGAGGCGCTCGTCCAAGCTGAAGCTCAAAATTCCCAACTTGACGGATGTTAGCACCATTGACAAGTGGTCCCGGATCATTTTTCCTATCACTTTTGGATTCTTCAACCTTATCTATTGGTTGTATTATGTGAATTGATACGCGTTCCCTTAGGAAACATGGGCCATATTTTGAGAGCACATTAAATTGGCTTTGATACAATTGGTAAATATGTGTACACATATATGAAAAGTTGATACATATGTATATGCATATTTCTATATATTATATTTCTATATACACACACATGCGTGTGTAAAATCTAAAGGACTTTTCTGATGTAAAAAACGAAAAAAAACAACAAATATTATATAGAATGACTTGAATGTTTAAGAATAATACAAGAGAAACATTTCAAGTATTTGAATTTCTTTTCCTTCTGAAACACATGACAAATAGCAAGCACCAGTCCCCCGTTCGAGGGTGCGGAACTAAAGAACTGCATGATATTTTTGCTAAAAGAAAAGATCACAAGAGAAAAAGGACACGTCTGAACGTCTCATCTGCTTTTTACTGATACTGTAATCTCAACCGCAGCTCATGAAATCAGATGTGGCTTGTGCATTTTGGGGCGTGAGCAGAGCAGGACCCTAAACCCAATCCCTCGCTTTCCCCCAGACCAATGGAAGAGACTCACGGAATTGTCCGTTTCTACACTGTACAGCAACCTCTTTTGGAATTACGTGTCATTCCTTGATTTTGCAAGTGACAAAGCGTTCTCTTTATCGGACCTCAGCTCTGGTCAATGGTTTACACTGGACGGCCATCTTGAGTTTTAACCAATGCACCCTGCCCAGAGTCAGTACGTTTCATTTTCTCTCTTCCCTTTTGGCAGATTCTCTTTTCTTTCGATTGTGGGCTAAAGATATAATCGTATTTCTGGAGGGCGTCACTTAAACATGTTCTAGAGGTAGTTCATTAATAGATAACAAGCCACTGGTACGCTTCATTCATCGGGAATTTAAGAAAACGGGGGGACAAAGAAGAATCCATTGATTCATTCATTCATTGGGTAGCCTTATTGACATGGTCAGGTAGTATTGTTGTTCTTTCTTTACTCTTGTTCCTAGTGCATATTCATCTGTTCTATTGACGCAGTATTCATGAACATCTTGTGAAGCTTTATGTTGTTCAGATTGGAGAGGACCCCTTAGTGAGCTGTAACGTTTCTTTAGACCTCGGATTTGAAGTTAGTCCATCAACTATGTGAAAACTGTACAAAATAAGGGAAGAAAAGATTGCTGTGTATTCGAGGGGATGTGACCATGTTTCTTTTTGATCTGTTACATGTTTAAGTCGACCACTCTGACCATAGTGTGATCTGAATATGTATATATTGAGTCATTGTAGTGATCCATCCCGAGAATGATATATGCTGATCTTTTTTCGTTTCTCTAAAATGTGCCTGTCTGAAACCTGAAGGATGTGTCCTCAGTTCATCAATCAGTGAAAGAGGGCCGAATGACCCTTGATCTTTGACCTTTCACTTTAAGCACTGCAGACCCACCCACAGCTCTGACGTTCTGCATCTTGGGATTGAATCTCAAAGATGAATGACATCAGCATAATCAGGAAAAGAAAACAACAACAAAAAAAAGCTTCTGAGTCTTTTCGGGGCAAAACGACATGTACGATAAAAGCCATGAACTGAAGTGACAACCAAAAAGGCCTATAATCCATTTTTCTTTTTAACATTTGCCTCTGATTCACCTTTGTTCAAGAGGCTTCGCCTCATTATAATTTACCTCGGCTTCACTGAGGTGACCTCCAGGTGACCACACACTCTCGCTCAAATCCATATATCAATTCATCTGCATGCATATTCATTCTGGTAGTCGCTAGATGTCTCAATGCTCAGTATAGCTTGGCTGAGTAGTCGCAACCCAACAGATGCTTGTTGAATCAGTTCTCGAGAATGTGCATGAGAACCGAGTTGCTGAACAACTGGGCAAGGAGACATTTAAATGCGAGGAGGTCCGTCCGGTGGTGTTTGGGGGAACTCGAGAGCTCTGGACTAGTTTGAGTCCCCTGGGGATGATGATCTGAGCAGGCCTTAGACCTCAGAGCTCAGCGGAGTGACTAGGCTCTCGAACCCCTACCAGACCTCTGACACTTGCAAAAGTGTGAACCAACCACCAAATCTCCAACAGGGATCACTCATTCCATGAAGAAAACAACCGAATCAGGGATAACCGAAGGGACAGGATTTACCTCAAAGTACTTCCGAGGTCCAGTGTTAATTGTCAGCAGATGACGACAGATGTAGGAAGGGGGATTTCCATTTGTTTTGTTATTTGTTATTTTACACACCTGTGCAAGGGAGCCAGTTCTCTCAAGTGCAAAGTGAGACATGCACAGTGTAGCAGTTAAGTTATGCGCAAATCTGCACTAAACGTGGACGGAGGTCCGAGTGCTCTTCATGAGTAACCCTAATTATTGTGAGTGTTATGGGGTGCCTTGACTAGTTACAAGTCCCAGTAGGCATTCAAGATGCTGCAATGCTTTGCCGTTGAAAGGTTAAAAGCAGAGTAGTTAGTTACTGATTTAATCTATAATGTTTAGATATAAACTTAATAGGTAGACCAGATCTTTTACGCTACACAATCAATCCATCTTCACCAGTGCAGTCTTGGCAAGGTATGACATGCCACCGCCAAATTGTATTTAAAGGGAACCTGATCAGTTAGGTTGCGCATTTTATCTCTTGAATTCCAAATAAGAATGGTCCATATGCATTTGGAGAAAGTGGCAAGAGTAGGCAGCATTAATCTGAGTGCCAGCCACTGATCACTGGCAGGACTGATTTTCAGTTATCGAACAGTGTCAACGGGTGCTCTGATGTAACTAATAACCGAGCAACTGCAAACAGTATATCATTACCATAACCTGAGGTTCAGCGTTTGATCCATGAGAATAATTAACGACAATTAGAAGTAGTTAGGACAAGGGGTGACAGTTATATGCATGTACGTTTACCCCCCAGTTACTTCATAGACAGACTTGCTGGCACTATGCAGTTTGTCTCACCAATGGTCAGTTTAACGTAGTACAGGGTAACCTAAACCACTGTTGATCCATGCATACTGACCAATCACAATAGGCAAGGATTGAACTCTTTTCGACAAAGTAGGCATCAGCAACATGTTAACGCAGCCATACTGTGCCACTGAGACATGCTGGATGTGGACACTGTGTTGACCATCAACACGTTCTTGTAGCACCAGCACTCTCTTTATTCACAGTGAGCTTTCACGTAGAACAGATTTTAGCTAAGATTCTGGTTTGTGGGCATTTGCCCCTGCAAGATTTGCCTTAACAAGATCACTAAGCATTTTCATGAACTATATCTGAGCAATACAATGCAACAAAGTTCACGAGAGAGTGAATCTCTTTCAACTCAATTCAAGCCTTAAACATGGTTATAGAGCATTATAATTTGATCATTGGACATTCCAGCCTGATCTCACGAGAAAACGTAAGTATTTTACGTTTTGTCAGTTTAGTGGCTAATTCGTCAAAATTCGTACAAGTTCAGTCGTATAAAATTGTACGATTTTAAAAAGGAGGTGTGGCACCTAACCCCACCCCTAAAACCAACCGTCATTGGGGGATGAGCAAATCGCTCTAAATTGTACGAATTAGATCGTACGAATTCATACGAATTAGCCACTAAATCAAAAAGTTACGAATTGCTGTGAGATTGTGTTGGACATTCGGGTACGATTGTGTAATCAGTTCTACGTCCCCTAAAGAAAATATAGTGACAAATTGGTTTTCAAATGTCTCTTCTAAGTATCTGGCAATGTTTCCACTGCTTACCTTCAGAACCGCAAAGTGCACAACTATTTACTGGTTAAAGGTGCAATAGGAGATCTTTGAAAAAGCTAATGTTAGCCTATGTAATCTCCATTCAACATGAATGCACACTAGACAACCTCACTGCCATACATCATGTAACTTTCACCAGAGAAAAACCTTTATAGTACAGTTAGTAATTACAATGCCAAACTTTACAAAATAAGGTTTGTTGTTGATGTTTGCCTGCTATTCGCTGCCTGAAACGCGTCCATAAATGCGCCTTTTTATGCGCAGAGAGAGGTTTGAAAGTATATATTTTAACAAGCAGGTACAGTAGGACTATCGCTATGTTCGGATGGAACATTTTGATTGGACGAACTTTCCTTGGTCCTTCGCCATATATGGAACATTAGAAACATAAACACATTTCGATCACTTTATTATCAGGGAGTAAATAGACTTTTAGGCGACGTAGTGGCGCAGTAGGTTGTGCTGTCGCCTCACAGCAAGAAGGTTGCTGGTTCGAGCCTCGGCTGGGTCAGTTGGCGTTTCTGTGCGAAAATTGCATGTTCTCCCTGCATTCGCGTTGGTTTCCTCCAGGTGCTCCTGTTTCCCCAATACAGGTGAATTTGGTAGGCTAAATTGTCCGTAGTGTATGAGTGTGTCAATGAGTGTGTATGGATGTTTCCCAGAGATGGGTTGCAGCTGAAAGGGCATCCGTTACGTAAAACATATGCTGGATAAGTTGGTGGTTCATTCCATTGTGGCGACCCCAGATTAATAAAGGAACTAGGCTGAAAAGAAAATTAATGAATAAATAGACTTTTAACCAGCATAACAAAAATTGTTTCTGTGGACAATCACCTATTGCACCTTTAATGATTCTGTTTTTGCTTTTTTTCGGTAGCCAGACCTGGATCCTACAGCGTAAAAGTAATTAACAAAAAAACAATTTATTTTCTTAACTTAATTTATAACTGAAAACTGTAATGAATTAGGTTGAAGACACCATTTTTGGGGGTTGTAATGCTGAGTTTACTACAGATGTGAAACACTCATCTGTTACTAGATTACTCTCAGGAAGTTTTTCCACCTCTTACTACTTTTCCGCTTGAGATTTTTGTAAAGTTTATTTCTAAACTAATTTCGAGAGGATCATGTGCTTATGATTGCTTGCCGCCGGCCCCGCATTATTCAATTTCGATTCACCAATCAGACGATTCTTAAGCCACTATAAATACCCTCAGTTCCATATATAAGCCATCTTCATTTTGAAGAATCCCCCCTTCCACCCCTACTCCTCCTCCTTTCCTAGATGGGTGGCATGGTGACCCAGTGGTTAGGACTGTTGCCTCAAGCAAGAACGTCACTGGTTATAGCCCTTACCAAGCCAGCCAACATTTCTCTTCGGAGTTTACACATTCTCCCCGTGCTCACGTAAGTTTCCCCTGGGTTTCAAGGTTTCTTCCCACTATCCAAAAACATGCAAC